TTAGTCCAAGGAATATAAACATGTTTTAACCCATTTTTAAGTGAGCAAATCCTACCACACTGCTCAGTGCTTAACAATATCTGCCTACAAAGATAAGCTAGAAATCCTGCAGAATGTTCAGCTGATTTTTTTTTTCTCAAGAGAACGGAACAAATTTTTATGAGAATTCCTGGGAAATAAAGCCCTGCATTTAACTCAAGAATTAACGGACACAATATGAGAGCATGGGTTTAAAATGTTAAATATGAACTGTCTGTGTAATTTATAAATCTATGTCAGTAAAATGGAGGATGAGTGAAGTCATAATATTGACTACTTCAGTTTAAACACTAATGACTGACTGCAGGTGGATCCCATGCATTCATGCTTTTATGACTACAACTACTATATTGTATTGCATGCTATAGAATGCTACAGCAATTCCTTTTAAATGGACACTGACAGATGCACACACACTCAAACACACTATACACACACACACTGACACTGTCCTTCAATCTCTTCTCTGTCACATTATTGGGACAGAAGGATGTCTCATCTTTCCCATTCCATAATCTTCTGAGAAACCACATGCACAGATGTGACATTTAACAATATCCAATAAGAACTATTACACTCTACCCACCCATCACATCATCTATTACTCTTAGCTGCTAAGATCTGTGTCTGAACAGTTTGGTTTTGCCCTATAGGTGCTAAGCTGCAGGATTTGGCGGGTCTCTCCCTCCATCCCTCCTCATGTGAAGACCAGTCTAAGCACACAGCTGGAACTGTTCCCAGCTGCAATGTAAAGCCCTGCTACCGCTCACTGTGCTAATTTGGAAAGAAGTGTAACATATAGAGGGTGATTGGCTCCTGATATAGACAATGTATGCTGCCAAGTGCACATGTTGGGACAGATATGCAGTCACAGACACCTGCTGCTCTCTGCACACACTGTACAGGAGGTATAAAGCTCTGGGTACACGCTAGAGACACCTGACACCCCAAAGCCACCACGTTTCGTCTCCACCCGGCAGTAGCTCAGTGTGTAGACC